AGTCACATATTTTCATGGGGAAAATAATTCTCTTGGTATCCTGATCTAGGATTGCTCTCAGATATGTTCCACAACCATTATTATTCTTTATTTTTAAGTAAATCTTTATTGTTGAAAGTATTACATATGTCCCTTTTCCCCCGCATTGCCCTCTCCCACCCCTCTCCCCATCAAGCCTTCACCACCCTATTGTCTGTGTCTATGGGTTATGCATATACCCATATGAGTTCATTGGTTGATCTCTCCCCCCTCCACCTTCACCTGCCTTCCCTCTGAGGCTTGACAATCTGTTCCATATTTCTATGTCTCTGAGTCTATTTTTGTTCATTAATTTATGTCGCTCATTAGACTCCACATATGAGTGAGATCATGTGATACTTATCTTTCTCTGACTGGCTTATTTCACTTAGCATAATGCTCTCTAGGTACATCCATGCTGTTGCAAATGATAGGAGTTCTTTCTTTTTTATAGCTGTGTAGTATTCGATTGTATGTTACAGTCTTATACCACTCATCTGCTGATGAGCACTTAGGCTGTTGCCAAATCTTAGCTATTGTAAATTGCGCTGCTATGAACATAGGAGTGCATGTGTTTTTTCTGATGGGTGTTTCTGAATTCTTGGGATATATTCCTAGAAGTGGGATCACTAGGTCAAATGGGAGTTACATTTTTAATTTTTTGAGAAAACTCCAAACTGTTTTCCACAGAGGCTGCACTAGTTTGCATTCCCACCATCATTGTACTAGGGTTCCCTTCTCTCCACATCCTCACCACTTGTCATTTTTTGATTTGTTGATGATAGCCATTCTAACAGGTGTGAGGTGGTACCTCATTGTCATTTTAATGTGTGTCTCTCAGATGATTAGTGACTTTGAGCATTTTTTCATATGCCATTTGGCCTTCTGTATGTCTATTTTTGAGAAGTGTCTATTTAGGTCCTGTGCCCATTTTTTAATTGGATTGTTTATCTTCCTTTTGTTAAGTTGTATGAGTTCCCTGCAGATTTAGGAGGTTAACCCCTGATCAGGTGTATCATTGGCAAATATGTTCTCCCATGGAGTGGGCTCCCTTGTTATTTTTTTATGGTTTCTTTTGCTGTCCAGAACCTCTTTATTTTGATATAGTCCCATTGGTTTCTTTCTTCTTAATTTCCATTATCCTAGGAGATGTATCCATAAACATATTGCTATGAGAGATGTCTGAGATTTTGCTGCCAATGGTTTCTTCTAGGATTTTTATGGTTTCACGTCTTACATTTAAGTCTTATCCACTTTGAGTTAATTTTTGTGTATGGTGTAAGTTGGTGGTCTGATTTCACTTTTTTGCATGTATCTGACCAATTTTCCCAACACCATTTATTGAAGAGGCTGTCTGGACTCCATTGTATTCTCTTGTGTCCTTTGTCAAATATTAATTGAGCATAATGGCTTGAGTCAGTTTCTGGTTTCTCTGTTCTGTTCCATTGGTCTATATGCCTGTTCTTGTGCCAGTTTCAGGCTGTTTTGAGTAGAGTGGCTTTGTGGTATAAAGGTAACAAATTGGAAAGGAGGAAGTAAAACTTTCCCTATTCATAGATGACATAATACTGTACGTATAAAACCCTAAAGACTCCATCAAAACACTACTCGATTTAATAAATGAACTCAGCAGGACATTCAATAAGAGAGAGCGGAAGATATACACAAGTAGAAGAATATGCCGTGTTCATGGATTGGTAGAATCAACATCATTAAAATGGCCATAGTACCGAAAACAATCTATAGATTCAATGTAATCCCTATCAAAATACCAAAGGCTTATTTCACAGACATAGGACAAATATTCTGAAAATTTATATGGAATCAAAAAAGACCCTGAATAGCCACAGCAACCTTGAGAAAGAAGAACAAAGTTGGTGGGATCACAATACCAGATATCATGTTATACCACAACCATTATTTTGTTGATTTTTATTACATAAGAAACTTTTTTTTTTGTCATTTTAAGGCTATTGCAAATTATGATACATCAGTACAATAAAACACTATTTACTTATAAGCAACAAGGTATAAAACAGTTTCCAAGGTATATTGTTAAGTAAAAAATGCAAGATGTTTAAGACTATGTAGATAACGTTTTCATTAGTGTAAAAAATAGTGGGTTATATATCTACATATGTTATATAACACATATAACCATACATTGAAATATAGAAACTGACCATGTAGTTACTCAGAAGAAGCATTTAGAAGACTGGAGTTCAGGGTGGAAGAGAGATTTATTTTATACTTTTATTAATGTTTTTACTATTTGCCTTTTAAAATATTTACATTACTTTTTTGAAGATAAAAACAGTATTTAAATTTCTTTGTGTTTCAAACTTCTAGGACTACCACAGCATACTAAACTAATTAGCATTTATTTTTATGACATTACTATCAGTTGTGTCAAAGAAATTTTTGTGAATAGAAAAGATGTCATGAGTGTTGAGAACAGAATGAAAGGGACTAAGGTTGGAATCAGCAATGCCAATTAGAAGGCTGTTGCAATTATCCAGTTAAGGAGATGGTGGCCTCGTCCTTGTTGGCAGCCAAGGAAGTAAGGAAAAATGATGTACACATAGATGTATAAAATCACAGAGGTGTCCTAGCTGGTTTGGCTCAGTGGATAGAATGTCAGCCTGCGGACTGAAGGGTCTCAGGTTCGAATCCAGCCAAGGGCACATACCTGGGTTGCAGGATTTATCCCCAGTGGGGGATGTACCCTGAAGTGCTGGGGTCCAGCCCCAGCGGGTCCAGGGGTCCCCAAAGGTGTGGACGGAGTCGGCAAAGAAGGAATGACACGGAGACAGCGTTCAGTTGATCAGCATAGTTGGGTTCTCTAGCCAAGTTCTGGTCAGGATCTCCAGCAAAGTTCTGCCGTTTATTGTCTTTTCTGTCACCAGAAGTCCCTGTTCGGGCGCCAGATGCTGGGGTCCAGCCCCAGCAGGTCCAGGGGTCTCCAAAGGTCTGGACAGAGTCGGTGAAGAAGGAATGACACAGAGGCAGCCTTCAGGTGATCAACAGCCTTGCCAGGATCTCTAGCCACAATCTCCAGCCAAGTGCTGTGTCCATGTTCTCTTGCTAGGTTCTCCAGCCAGGTTCTCCAGGTTCTCCAGCCAGGTTCTGTAGCCATGTTCTCTCGCTCGGTTCTCCAGCCAGGTTCGGTAGCCAGGTTCTGTAGCCAGGTTCTGTCCAGGATCTTTTGCCATGTTCTCTCCAGCGAAGTTCTTCTGTCTCTAGGTTCTGTGTAGGTTCTGTCTTCTAAGTTCT